CTCCACAGATTACGTCACGACTCCCCCCTCCTCCTTGCTCGTAGCGATCGCGATTAAGCGTAGTCGAAGTTACGCGCGCACTCACAACGCAATTACATGTACTCACACCTACACACGTACACGTATATAAGTATATTACGTATTTATATATATATATATATATATTTATATATATATATATATATAAATAAATTATATGTACTTGGCGATGAGCGCGGCAATTGCGCCATCGCCTTTTACGCATTCGGCGTTACGTTTCGCACGCAGGCACGGCGTGCATTAAGTTTACGTACGATAAATTGTACCTGACGGTCACACACGCGTTCTGTTGATTCTTCTGTTTTATTAATAAAGCATCTTATTATCGATCCGAGGATTGCTTCGATCCGCCGCACCTCCCTAAATCACCGACTGTAATCTTAAGCGAAATATAATTGCAGCGATTCTTTCTGGCCATTTAGTGCGATATATTTTAAAACTATTTACAGAGTCATCTTTTCTTTTTTCTGTACATGGACGTGTGAATGTGCGCACGTTGCACGCGTCAGTCGTAAATTACATCGGGACTTTGGCGCTTCGCGATCCTAACGGGACGCGGATCTGTCAAAGGGATCCGGTGTAGATCGGCGCGCGTCTCGTCCAGAGTCGATCACGACGGATGGATGAAGTTATACCGATAACGACCTTACGGTACGCCGAATCGTAAATTTCGGCGCGGACGAGTGTGCAGCTCGTTAAAAGCGCTATTGAAATTGATCATTAGAATCATAACAAATCCAGGCATGCATTCTTCGCGAGAGCCGCATGCGAGTTCGGTGGAACGCAATCTTTTATTCGAATACACATCTCTATGGAAATGTTAATTTAATTAATAATTACATGTAACTATAAAATAATGTGCAAGATAGAGGGAACGACGTGTAATATTTCCATTTGTCCAATTTAAAAGTTTCACTCGCGGAACATTGCTGAGATCGTGATATTGAAATTGGGATATAAGGATAATTGCCGGTTGAACGGCGATTAATGGAATGCTTTTTACGTGACAAAACACACGCGACGCACCCTATATAAACTCGCATCGCTCGTTTATTTCGATTATTCTTAATTGAAGTGGTCAAACTGGTACACGAGGATGACAAATTTCCCCGAGCGCGGACTGATTGCGTTTGCAGTTTCACCGCATGCGTTTCGCGCGATGTTTGTGGTTCCGTAAATTCTGCGATTATTAGCTCCCACCGGGCCTGATTTATGATGCTAGTGCACTCGATCGCATTGCTCGACGCAAGTTTGATATCAAAACGATCCCCTTTAATACAAAATATTTTCCTGAAATACGCGTTAAATTGGCTGAATATAATTTGCACCGCTCATTATCAAGCTTATTAGAATTTAATTACAAACTAAAATCTTGGTGTTAATAGTAGATATTCGAGGCATTTTACAGTTTTTAAATACATTAATCTTTTTTTCAGAAATATAATTATGTTAATAAAAATATTGACATAAACCTATAAACATGTATAATTTTGATGAAATTTTATATAATAATAATGTTTTTTAAAATTATAATATAAACAATTTGAAAAGTTAAATAAATTTGTTAAAAATGTATAAAAAGATTACTATCTGAAAATAAGGTCTTAAAAGGAAAACTTTAATATGAAATTGAGTTGCCTTTGGCATTTATTTATAATTTCAGTAATTTGTCTTTTGCGGCGATGCTGTTTGTGCACGGCCACATCTTTACTAAAAGTTAACAGTTTCTAATATTGTTTTAATTAGTTCTTAATTTAAACCATATTTAATCTTAAACCATATTTTTAGTTAATAAACAAATAACGCTAAAAATAAATGACCGAAATTACAGGTAAATGCTAAAAGTAACACAACTTTTTAACTCACCA